AGATAAGCCTCTACTGTTTTAGATTGTATTTGCAAACTCTGGAAAGGGCATGCAGTATATCATGTTTTATCATATGTTCATCCCTTCTGGTTTACCTTTCCTCTCCTGCTGCATTTTCAGAAGAAGTAGAAGAGAAAATCTGCTGGTTTGATTTTAAAATATTTTAGAGAAACATTCTTTACATATTTTTGAATATTGTGTCTAAAGATTACAGTTCCCGTAAATTAACCTAAACTACCTGTATTAAAAGCAGTTAGGAACAGAATATCTACAGATTATGCTCCTAAAGAAGGAAACGGGAGAGAAATCATGATTCTCCTGATGGTTTTGGGAATAGACTTTTCCTAAACATCTGCACAGAATTCTTTTATTGTTTCATTAGAATTTATGCCCAAGGTGGACAGCAGTAAAAATGGTTTTACACCAAGTTTGGCAAAAGTGTTAAATATGGTATATATAGGAGTTTTATTTTTAAGGTAGATAAAAGTAAGACATGATTTACAGATGGTTTGTAAGCATGGAAAGGGACACTGTTTAAAAGAACAGAAACAATTTGAATTCTTATTAGATTATAAATATGAGGTCATTAGAGCATCTCTGTTTTTACCTTTTTTTTTATTACTTGTATATATGAATGTAAGAATTCCTGCATATGCTATTGATGTAGAAGAAATTTCTTGCAAAGTTTATTTGTAGAAATTACCATTTACGATTAACTTAAATTATAAATTTTCTAATTAACTTAAATTCTAAATTTCTAAAATTCTAAATTTTAATAATTCTAAAATGCTTTATAAAATTTTATCACTTATAAATTCTGAATGAATGATTAGTATTATCTTATATAGAAAACAAGAAATATCTTTTCATGATACCAGAGGAAGAAAAAACCCAACACTTAATTTAGAAAAGATGACACTAAACGCAGAAGCTCTCTTATAAACTTAGCAAAAAAATGCACACATGCTCTGGAGTATTTCCATGTAAGAGAAGTCAAAAAAATAAAACCAGGACACATGTAAAAGTGTTTTGGTAGGAAACAACTGGATGTATCTACAAGAATTTCTAACTGGACAATATTTGCATAGAAAGCCCACAAAATGTGTCCAAATAATTACTCCAAGATACTTACAAAGAGCATTCAGTTTGTAATTTCATGATTATTCTGAAAATTTACTTTAAGAAAATTACAGACATGCAAAAATGATCACGTAAATAACAATACAACTTTAAAGAGCAAAAAATCCCTTCAGGAGAACCAGAGTCTAAGTGAAATCTTTTTATAAATAATTGTTAAGTTCAACAATTTACAATGCATCTAGATTAATCATAATTTTCTTCTTTGTTTCAATGTAACTGAATAATAAATTGACTGATTTACTCATATTTGGGTACCATAAGATGAGTGAAGCTGTGACGCTGATTTTACAGATGTAATACTGCATTCTGAGCTGCTATTGGATACAATGGCCAAAAAATACAAAAATAGTCAGGAGAATATGTAAAGAAAGACACAACCTTTAAAGAATAAAAAGCTTCATTTTGCACTTTACTCTTCTGCTTTTCATCCTCATAACTTTCTATGCTTGAGAAAATCTACTACATAAACAAACTACGAGCTCGGGGGAAAAAGTTCCCCTAGAATTCAAAGAAAAGTGAAGTCAAATAGCTAAAATAAAATTATGAGGTATATTTGAAATGCTGCCAGAAAAAAAGCATAGTCTAAGTTACAGCTAAAATACGCAGTGTTCTAAAAAGCAAAAAGCTCCTTCCCAATTCAGAAAAAATGCAGTGATATATCTGCAGGAACACATCTGAAAAAAACCCTTTACTTAAACCTTCACACTATCCTCTCCAAAGGATCTGTCAGCATTTGACTGGTTGACTTGTTTGTATTCTGAGTTCAGGTTTCCTGCTGAAGCATACACAAGCACTTTGTAAATGCCCATGGCATTCCATTAACAAGTACAACTATTCCTGTGACATCACCTGAGAAACACGGGTGAACTGATGCAAATGATCCTATGGTACCTTTAAGCAGTGCACTTGTGAATAGCTTTGATGTGAATAAGATAAGCGCTAGTAACTTAACCTGCTTATGATTTTAATTTCTTATTCAATATACTTTGCCTGCTATTTTGCAACAAGAATGACACTACATAAAAGTAACTGCAATTACTGTGTGGTACGCAATATAAACAGTCACTTAATGGGGGGCAGGGAATAAACTTTAGAAAAAAAATCCCTGGATTTTTCCAACAAGTTCTATCAAATGCTTTTCTTGGAAACTAAGAAAATACTACATAGCATTGCGTCTGCATTAAGTATTTGCTCTAGCTGTCATTTCTATATCCCAAGAGCAAAATGTAACTACTGAACTTCTGTACAGATGGTCTTGACTCAGTGTTAATGTGAATCCTTGGAGAATGTAAACTTTGCTTCTCACATATGCAGTCACTTCAGTCATTTTTTCAGAAATATGCAAGGAATTGCTTTTGCAGAAATGAAACAAAGACAGAAATCTACATTACTGCAAAGCATTTATGAGGCCAAACAAAACCAGAACTTGAGTCTAGAATTCTGCACTCTTTAGAGCAGACAGCTATACACAACATACATATCTGTGTGGATCTTCAAGAAAAATACACAAAACCATGCATGTACACATATTCTGAAAAGCAACAGATGCCATACAGTCCTTAGGTTACACGAACTGTAAAATCTGTCTCAAAGTGAACATCTGGAACATTTTAATCTTAAATCTAGAGTCGATCTTCTAGATTCCTCAGGGATTATAATGAAGGACTGACTGCACAAACATCTGCCCTTATCTGCTAAAGGATTTATTTTCTTAGATAAATTAGGCAATGTGGCATCTCATCCAAGTCATGCTTTTAATGTTTACAGTTGCTAGACCGCTATACTTCCATTAGCCTAGGATTACAACTTCACTAAGTTTACTCAGAACTATACAGTTATGGTGATTTATGGAAGCTTATTTTTGGATATTTGTAATTTTGGCACTCTTGAAGTGTTTAAGAGTCTCCCTAAATCCAGAGATTGTTTCAATCTTTTATTTTTTCATGGTTTGTGTGCTTGTTTATTTACTTTCTATATGAGAAAGAAAATTCTAAAATCGAAAGTAACAGAAGTATTAAGAAGAAACAATAAAAATGTTCTTGATAGTGAAATTTAATTTTTTAAAATAAATTATTTCCATTGCAGTGCCTTAAAACTTCACTTCCAGACAGCATTTCTTACAAAAAACCACACAAATCCCACACACATATGTGTGCTTTACTACCATTTGATGTGTCTGAATCAGGGTTCTCTCTCTAAAACATGAGTGTACCCTGCAGTGACTGTATAGGTTCTTTACCTCCTCAATTTTCACTTGGCAAGTAGCCCAAGTCTCTGCTTTAAATTTCCCACTTGATAGCACTACTATGGCACCTGAAGAGTAATTAGTTGTAAGAAAGGGAATTTGGACTGTTTGCTGAGAAGGAAAAAAATGTGCATGCCTAATAAAGATTTTTTCCTTGAGTACCTGCAACACCGTTTATTTATTTTTGCTTAGAATGCACCATCCTTTAAATAGACTAGTGGCCATTTTTTCTTTTTTTAAACCTTCCAAAAAAACTGAGTGAAAGAAAACTGGTTTGGTTTTAAAGATATGGTATTTTGATTTTAGTCAGTCTTTTACATTACAGCAGCTCTTATCTTTACACAGATTTTGTCCCCCATCCCCTTTTCGGTTTTTTTTAAACAGTTTCCTGATTTTCTATTTCAATTTTCATACTGCTTTTATGGACATCTAAGACGTAGACTTCTAGGGAGGAAAAACCTCAAGATGTCTGAGAAATCATAATGTTTATATCTAAATTATACATGTAATTCCCTGTGAAGTTTATGCTGTCCGTGAAACTTTGTATTATAATACTGTTTGTAAGATGGGCCGATCTTCATTGGTTCCAGTGATCTTGGAAAGTCTTTTCAGTTCATTACATATACAGTTATGCAAAATGAGTAGCAGAAATGAGGTTTTCCCTCCTCTAGAAATTAGCAGTTCCCTAGCACTAAGAAAGTGAAAAGTGCTGCTCCTGATACTGCTTCTGCCTTCTGTGCAAAGACAGAAATGCAAAGAAGTTTGAGGGGGAGGGGATTTGATTTCTTTTTTAATGTCTGCCTCCTTCCAGCAAGTCCATCTGTTGTAGCACCATAATTCTGGAAGCAGGATGTGTGTGTGACCAACAGGAGACAATTACTGCATAAGTGTTTGTTGATTCAGCTCTATAAAGGGCAGGCCAATCACTACAGTATGAACAGAAAAGAATTCCAGCTGAGGAGTTGCATATAGATTAACACAGAACACATATATAAATGAGAATGGGGAAAACCAGAAAGGAGTAATAGCGTGGAAAAGGATTAAGTAGGAACAAAGACTGAAGCAGAGAAGAAAGCTGGCATCTTTGGGCTGTTAACCAAGTAGTTTATTAGCCTCTACGTTCATAAATTTCACTCTCTGGCTTTCCACCTTAACAGAGAAAGATGGGATTAAGTAGATATGGAATTTACCTGAGCCCCTTTTAGAAGAAAACTCCAGTTTTCTTGGGACATAAGGAGACAGTGCCTGTTCTTCACAGGGGAATGGGTGCTAGTTTCTGTAGACTGACCAGATTCTCAGCAAAGCAAAGTTTGCAGACCACAGGCTTGAAGTGAAACTTCCCTCACTCATTTGAATGCACATAAAGTGCCACCATGAAGACTACTTTGTTTTCAGAAGGATAAATGAATTGGGTTGATAAATAATAAATCAGGTCTCAGTCCGATTTGTACACAATAACTGACTCAGAATCCCCTAAAAAGTATTCCAACACATATTTTTTCATAATTCTGACTATAATAAATTAAACTAAAAAAACCAATGTTATCACAGTTTCAGAGAACTGCAATAGCATTAAGCTGAACATTGTGAGACAACATAATGAAAAGTTCTTTACCTCTATGGTCAGTTTACCAGTTTGAACTCTCTGATTAGCCAAATGTAGCTGATTTGTTAGTTTTTCATTGGTTTGTTTCATCTCCTTCACAGAAGCCACTGCAGTCTTTTTTTCATTCTGTAAAACAGCTATCTGCTTCTGCAATGACTTAATTCTTTCCTGCAGTAGAGTAACAGTGCAACCTGGTTTCTGGAGGGTGGTATTTCTCCTTTTCACTCTGTTCACTAAACATAAAATGTCATGTTACTAAACTGACAGATCATCATAAGTAACATGATTTCTGATCTTGTTTTGGCCCTTTAAAACACCCTTGAAGTCTTTAAAATATTTTTCAGTAAGCAAATTGATAAATTAACAGTTAACCTATAAAATTATACAACATTTAAAACATATAAAACCAATCAAGCTATAAGTGCTCAAAGTTGTCCTTTTTCTGAAGTGCCAACACTGCAAACTCAAAAAGGACTTGGAAGTTAAATGTGCCTCTGATTGGTATTACTGAAAATAAGGCCTTCAGTGTCTTCAGTGTCTTATTAACAGACTGGGTTTTTTTAAGGTCTAAGCCAAAAGCCATTAATTTGTTTCATTAGCTGTGTTAGCTACAAGGGGCAAACATGAACAAAAGGCAATGAAAAGCCTCGTATCAATTAGTAGATTCAATTAGTGAAACTTAGTAAGAGTATATATTAACTGTGTGAAAAGATGCTGTTTGACAGTCACTTATTATATGACAATTTCACTTTAAAATAATGAGCTAAATATTTGAAAGTACACATACAACTTTAAACAAGCAAATTTTGTAACAGCATTCAATGGGTTTACGTAATATAGCAGAGGTTTTGGTAGGCAGGAATGCTTCGTCAGTCTTACTGAAAAAGTTGCCAAAAATAAATAATATTCCTACCTTTGCTTAGAATTGATGGATGTGACGTTACAAGATAGCAGATCTTCCTCCTCTCAGAATGTAACTTTTTTTGGTCTTTATTCTGTGAATGAGACTAAATAAAAAGAAAAGCACAAAGTGAGCAACTCTTCACCGTGGCACAGCAAAACACGGCAAATTTTTCCAGTTTGAATTGAAACAACAAAAATTACTTCAAATAATAAACAAATTCCAATGAATTCTAGTTTGAAAATGAGTCTTAGAATATCAGCCAGTGAAGAGTATTTTCCCATCAAATATAAAAGAATAAATTAACTGTTACAGGTACGTCATAGCCTTTTCTGAAGAATCCCGGAGAAATATGAAGTATCTGTTAATATATACGTTACTTTTTTAGATAAGATCTGAATTTACTAGTAGGTAAAAAAGATGATTTGTATTAACTGAAAGTCTACAGTATCTTATTTTTCAAAATATTTAAATGAAACTAAAAGGACTAGTGGTCTTATTAGTTCAAAAGGAGGAAGACCAGATTACATACTGAGCTGTAACTAGAAGACGCATTAATCTATGTGAACATGCAAAATAAAATCACTGTGTTAACCAGGGCTTAACAGAAGTCTGCTCCATGCCTTTTAAATATGTGATTTGAAAAATCAGCTGTTTCCAGAACCTATCCAATGTCCAATGACAGAAGAAGAGAGTGAAGAAGAATGTTGCTTGCAATATGTAAAATGAAAATGTTCTACTGTAAAATCAAAGTACTACTTCACTGAGTGCATTTTAAAACACCTTTGTTCTGGAATTCTTCAATATTTATCCAATTTTTAAAGTCTTCAAATTGCAACATTTATGTGGTACCATGCAATATATTCCTGGTAATATTAATAAAAAAAATAGCTGTTAATCAAATTTAAAAGAGTAAAGAGCAACATGTTTACTACTAACTGCACTGAACAGATTATTAACATTGCAGGACAGCTTAGCCATGAATTCTAGATTTCTACAATCATCACAACAGTTTGAAGTACCAAGAATTGAGGTCTGAGCAGATGATGAACAAATGATGCATGCCTGCAGCAAAGAGATGGAGATCTCCACTCTAGGCCACAGCTCTAATAAACGTATGAGTTGTAAGAGAGTGCCAATAACTTTGATGGCACTGCACAGGGTATTATATATTTATACCACGTGGGGCAAAATTGACAAAAGTAATTTTAAAATAAATGTCATCCTTAACCCCTGGCATAGGTCAGGACTTTGGTGATTTCTCTAGCCTTTCTTTGTATGAAAATACCATGAAACAGCTGGAGGGTCCTTTAATCCCCTTGGTGGATTTAAGAATTTTGTTAAAATCAGTTAGGGTTCCCAACTGTCAACACTAAACCTTTGTGCAATACTATCATCTGTCCTCACAAACCATTTTTTCAAATGCTTTTCCTACAACATGGGAGGAGTTCTGCTGAAACATATTTAACTGTTTAAGGCTCTCAAGATGCTTTCTGTGTATGCTCCAATTCCACCAGTCTGTTAAATATGAGCATCAGGATATACATGTGTTTGTCTCTTCCAGTAGGAACAGAGAACAAATGCAGTACAGGCTTACAGAAGAGGTATTGGCTGAGCAAGAGAGAACAGAGCCTCCAGGATTGCCCGCCTTGTATGTCCTCACTCAGGAGCAGCAGGAGATAACAAGAGTACCACACTCTGCCAGGTTTTCACATTGTATCATATGCACCTACTCATACTATGTATTCTATACCAACAGATGGTTGCATAAGAATTTTCCTTTTTTCATTTTTTCTTACCCAAAAGGTTTTGATGGGATAACACAATCAAGATAATGTAAGAAGACCAGAGAGTTTAAATTCACTTTAAAATTTTGGAGACTAAGAAAATATACCTTTTTTTCAAACCTTTTATTATATAACCATATAAAACTGAATTTCACACTAATTAACTTAAAGCAGCAAGTTTTCCAGTGTTTCAGTATTCTGTTTCTTGAACTAAGAAATAAAAATATCTGCTTGTGTTTTAAATTCCATGGACTGATTTATTTGGGCAAACACGGGAGGGAAAAAGTATTAGACACTGTTCAAAAGTCCAAGAATGAGTCATCTGTTACAGATTGTATGGAGCCTCTAAAGACCTGGGAAACAACCAGCTGGCTCTCTTCTGTGAGAAAACAGCATATAGATGTTAACAATGAGACAATCAGTACAAATCCCAGACAATGAATTTAAACAAGACTAAGAAGGCGGCAAAAGTATACTTTTCTCAAGATAGAATCTCCTGGATACAGAGAGAGTCAAAAGCATCTTTCTAAGATGGAGTCAACTTGTCCAGTGCACACCAAGCAAAGTGAGAGATGTTTATACTTGGTTAGTCAGCACACAATTTGGCTAGATGGGAGGGAGGGATGTTGCTGTTTCCCTGTTATGGGTTAGGTCAGCTTGTTCTGTACAGCATATCTGATTGAGAGAAAGTTTAATGGGATGACTGTAGCATTCTTTGTCTGGCCTGTGAGACAGCAGCACTAGATTACAGCAGCTTAACATTTTTTAATCAGCTTTTGCAATCCTGACAACCTCTTCAAATACTTTTGCAGAGTAATCGTTCAGAAAATATTTTAAATGATAATGAATCTACCCACTGAATATCTGGAAGCAGATTTTATTTTCCCTTCACAACAAGAGTCAAATTAATTATGAGGGGAACAGCAGTGCTAATACTAAACTTCAGCACTCCACACAGGAGCACAAAGCAAGTTTTATTATATACCTTTTTTTGCTCATTTTGGCCTTCTAAATGAACAGTGTTGCAGGACATTTTTTCTTGTTTATTTCTGTCTGGCAGTGGATCAATGTTTTGCACTGTCTTCATAATCACTGTTTCCAAACTTTCAGGATTTGGTATTTTAGAGTCACTAAAACAGCATGTTCAGGAAAACAAAATCAAGACAAATACTAAAAGTTACAAAAAGCCAATGTTTAAGCATATAGAAATTAACACATTTAAGAAAGAAGAGATCTAATACAAAATTCAAACAGTACTAAGGTGACTTATTTAACAGATTTTACAAATAAATAAAAAAGAAATCTATCACTAAAATGGTCCTAAAAAGTTCTACTCTGTGAAAAGGAATCTCACTCTATGATGCAGGGAAGTCTGAGACTTCAGCTGCTTCTTAAAGGACAGCTTTTGCTACAATCTACAAAACTGACATACATGTAAAGATACCTGACAGTATTTCAAGTCTGTGAGTGGCTCATAAACTACTAAATTTCTAATTTCCTTCATTTTCACATTTTGTAACAAAACAAGTAAACGTACAATACTTTATAATATTTAGTTTCAACTGAACTTCATTTGTAGTGTTGTCTGAGACAAATTCAAAAACTACACTTGAGTGAAATCTCTATTTAGCACCCCTTTGGAGTGTTTTTAAATTCTGTAAACTCGATAATCCTTTCACTGAGATTGCCTGCCATGCAGAGAAACTGGACCTGAAACTTTAATTATTTTTCAAATTTTTCCTTAAAATTGCACTAAATGTGCTCTTAATTGACAGTTTTTCACTGCCTTGCCTCAGATTATCATTTGCTTTCTTATATTCAGTGAAGTCTACCTCAAAACTTGAAGTCTTGGACACATTATTTTCTATAGTATCAGTGGCTATTTATCATAATTTGTGTGAACAGACTTGTGAAGAAATCCCTTGACAGAAGGTTATTTTGATTTGTTACTAATTAAACCAAGATATTTAAAATGGCATAGATGAGTTCAAATTAAGTTGCACTATCATAAAAATCTATGGTTTAGTGACGAAGGCTACTCAAATTAAAGAGTTCACATAGAAAAATGTTTATACTTTTCAAAACTTGACATACATTAGTATGTCTATTGACTGATGAGAAAAGAAATCAATGTAATGGTTTAAAGATGTTGCAGTAGCACTGAGATATTTCCAACTACACACACATTCTCCTCACCTGAATGCTTTCAAGGAATGTTCTATTTAGAAAATGGAAGGCTTGACTTCAGAAACTCAGAGGTAGGTACTAATGATAAAGAACAGTATTTATTAATAAGTAGAAGAGGGAACTAAATGAAGATACTTCCCTAACTTGTTGAGACTGACACACTGAAACCTCCCTTTCAAAAATGTTCACTACTCTATGACAAGAATTCCCTAAGCCACCATTTGTACAATGATCAAAATTATTATTTATGGCTAGCTATGACAACTGAAGCTATGCAATTATTTTCCACTTCAAACTCGAAGTGGAATGACAGTGTGCTCACTCAATATTGCTCTTAAAGAGAACAACATAGTAAATGAAATAAAAAGCTCACTAACTGCAAACGTGCATCCACGTTTGTGTAAGTGTAAACATGTATGTTTTCTATTGAAATCAGACCTGCAATTTTAGATAAAAACAAATAAGCTTTACATTAGTGATATCAACTGACAAATTACATGGTTCTTAATTTGTTATCTTGCTTGAAATACTGTGTTCAGGAACCCCTTATTTTGCACAGGGAGTAGCAGCAGAAGGGCTTAATTTGCCACTGTTGATTTGCTGTGTAACACATAAAGCCAACAAGAAGCCTATGAATGATTCCATTTTCTTTATTCTTTTGCCACCCTTCCGGCATTTTGGATAATATAGGCTTGAGAAATTTCTTCGCTTGTCTCTTAGGACAAAGTCCTGAAAGACAAGGTGTGATAATCATTTATGTAGTGGCCTACTGCTCCTTCCTCAAGTATTTAGGGACAAATGGAAGAAGTAAAACTTACAAACGTTTATTTAGCTTGCCAGTGCAATTTTCTGAGAGCTTTGTGACTTGTGACTGGGACTGTATGTGGTAACAATTACCTTTAAAGAACTGATTTTTAAACATCATTCAATTAAAGTTAGTACAATGACTGTGCATAAAACATACATGAAATAATTAGTGTGGATGGTTCTTAATTTAAAGGATGTTAAACAGCTTGTAGACATCTGCTAGCAAGCTGAAATGGGTCATTCAAAATTTATCTAACTAAATTAAGGGGAAAAAATGTTTCTCCTCCCGGGTCGGCATGTCACAAGATAACTAAACCGACTTAGTAGGCTTGCCTGGGAATCCTTAGCTGTCAGTGGTGAATATGCAAAGGGCCAGCAAATTAAATCAACCTGCCAAACTGTCAATTTCAAGCCTCATGACTGCATGAAAATAGCATCACTGGAAGAAATCAAGCATTGCCTTCTTTTGGGTTTCCTGGCACCTATTCAAATACTCATGCAGTTGTGGTTAATTTCACATGCAAATTTCAGTCAATAAGCTCAGAACAAGACCTCCCAAGATATTTCAAAGGATCTGACAGTATTTTTTTTGAATACCAAATCAACAGTAGTTGAAATTCAATCTCCATTTGCTAGTGCTTTACATATGCACAGTGTCCCCTCTACAGGGCTAAGTTAATGAGAGCCGTACCAGCTTTCATTCACATCCTCCCAGCCGTCCTTACTGAAGTTCTCAAATACATTACTCATAACCTTGATGGACTGTTTGAGAAAAGCTCCATGATGTCCCAAAGAGCTCTTTTCCTTGGCTGTTTTTAATTTAACCTTGGTGCCTGTTATCTTGCAATTACATTGCCCAGACGTTGCCACTGCTCTGGCTTTATCCGGCAAGCATTTCGGCTCTTGCACTTGACTCAGCAAATCTTCACTTTCATTTCTCAACCTGTTAGCTTCTGCCACTGGCCCGTTCAAAAAGGCAGCTTCTTTTTCCTTCTCATCAATCACTAACTGAAGTTCTGATTTTTCTTTTTTCATTTCACAAATCCTCTTAAGTAGTGTTTCCAGCTCTCTTTCTCTTGTGTCTGCATCTTCCTTTTGTACTTTTAAAGATTCTTTCAATGAAATTTTCTGATTCAATAAGTCTTTATTTACTTCTTTCTGTTCCCTTAATTCCCCTTCAAATGCATTGAATCTTCTTTCTAGTTGTTGCACCTAACAAAAGCAATTTTAGCATTCACAATCTTTCTGCCCACCTAGTAAAAAAAAATTATGTTTTCAAATATATTTTTATACGACAATAATATTACATGAAGCACAAGGACAAAAGCAATCTATAATCCTTAAATTAAAAATAATTCTAATGTAGCGCAGATGAAAACATTTTAGCTGCAATAATACAGCTGTTGAACAAAGGGCAGATGGTAAAAGAAGTTAAAATTTGAGGCAAAGTGACACAGAAGTTTAGGTATGCTAATAAATCTTCCTGATGCATCTTCAGGTCATTACTGTATCAGTTCTACATACTAATTGAATTTAAAAAAACATTTTCAGAAGGACTACTACTTCGAAATACAATTTTGTGCTAGCTATCTAAATCAACAAGTTCTTTAAAGTGTTGTAAATACGCACATAAAATATAATTTTATTTTGCAAAAAACCCCAAACAAAACCTAGCAAGAGACATCAAAAACTCAGCACCTAAACCCATGAAAGATAATATGTATTTGCTATTCACTGAAAGGAAAAATCTATCCTGTTTCAATTAAGAGACTTTAACTTTACAAGTTTCTCATATAAAGTCTGAAAGAGCTTTCTACCTATATACCTCTACCTATATACCACCTATATGTTTGTAAAGTCCTTTGAGGTTTACTCATACTCAAGGTCATTAGCAATAAACTGATTCCCTATGATGTGCTGAAGTATTTGCATAAAGCAACAACTAAACTTCACAATTTCAAGCAAGAAGGGGCAATTTTAATTTTAACAGATACTAAAATGAATATTTTAGTTTATGAGATAACCCCAGAAGCAGAGTAAGTTTTGTGTTCAGTAACCACTTACTCCAATACTTTGGAGAAATACTTTTTTAGTTAATTTTGTACAAGCTCCATCCCCACTCTTTCCCTAGGGAAACTGTCAGGAGCTCTAGATTTCTCTGGTTTCTATGGTTAGGAAAGACTATATTTCAAGAATGCACAAGGCTAACTTGAACTTGTCACCTTGTAAAATACTGGTCAGTTCCTTCACTTTGTAGCATACATCATGTCAAAACTACCTTTGACACTGAAAATACTGAAACCACCATACTATTTCTCAATGAATGCTACATGTTTTAACAAGGACATTTTGCCAATATATTTGAATTTTCAGACGACACAAAGTTGGGAGGGAGTGTCGACTTGCTGGAAGGCAGGAGGGCTCTGTAGAGGGATCTGGAAGACTGGAGAGCTGGGCTGACTCCAATGGGATGAAGTTCAACAAGGCCAAGTGCCGGGTCCTGCGCTTTGGCAGCACTACAGGCTGGGCACAGAGTGGCTGGAGAGCAGCCAGACAGAAAGGGACCTGGGGATGCTGATCGACAGGAGGCTGAACATGAGCCAGCAGTGTGCCCAGGTGGCCAAGAAGGCCAATGGCATCCTGGCCTGCATCAAGAACAGTGTGGCCAGCAGGAGCAGGGAAGTGATCCTTCCCCTGTACTCTGCGTTGGTGAGGCCACACCTTGAGTATTGTGTTCAGCTCTGGGCCCCTCAGTTCAGGAAAGACATTGAGGTGCTGGAGCAGGTCCAGAGAAGAGCAACCAGGCTGGTGAAGGGACTTGAGCACAAGTCCTGTGAGGAGAGGCTGAGGGAGCTGGGGTTGTTTAGTCTGGAGAAGAGGAGGCTCAGGGGTGACCTCATCTACAACTACCTGAAAGGAGGTTGTAGCCAGGTGGGGGTTGGTCTCTTCTCCTGGGCAATCAGCAATAGGACAAGAGGGCACGGGCTTAAGCTCTGCCAGGGGAGGTTTAGGTTGGATATTAGAAAGAAGTTCTTTCCAGAGAGAGTGATCAGGCATTGGAATGGCCTGCCCAGAGAGGTGGTGGATTCACCTTCCCTGGAGCTTTTTAAGACGAGGTTGGATGTGGTACTGAGTGCCATGATCTAGTAATCACAGTAGGGATGGATCAAGGGTTGGACTTGATGATCTCAGAGGTCTCTTCCAACTCAGTTAATTCTATGATTCTATGAATTATTTTAAAATTTATGGAATCCATTATGAAGTGGGTACCACAGATATGATTCAGATAAATGAGAGGTCGTAATGTACAGGGTAAATTCAGACAAGAGCTGCTCAAACTTTATATACATTTGTGAATTTTATATGGAATTTGTGTGTTTGATAGTAAATCTTTAATATGAATGCTTATGCACTGCTACTTTCCACTATGGAAATTCATAGCACTCCCACAATGAATAGACATTGCCTTATGGCTACATAAGGTTACTGGGTGAAATTAGAAATAAAAGGGATTTTTTCAAATGCTTCAATGAAACCAAGGTTTATGACTGAAATTGCAGTTTGCACTTTCCTCCCCAGTGACAAGGTGTTAGACCAATACCTTTCTTCAATCATATTCCTAAACTGAGTTTCTGCTATTATTTTCTCAGTTCTTTAAAGCAACCTTTTGCACTCAGTAGCACTTAAAGTCATGTATGACAGCTGGAAGGAAACAAACAATGAAAAGCTTCTACACCTCTCCCTAAGGTACCATCATAACTCTGTATATCCATAGAGATAAAAATTATGTAGTATCTGGCAAACAAAATTATAGTTCTGAAATATAGATGATAAGCAAGCATAAACTGTGTGACATTTCAGATGGTAGCGTTCATATTATTTCAATTACTCACTCTACCTTAAGATAAATGAATGTGAGCACTTCCTATTCTGTGTGTTATTATTTTAACATGATGTTTGTCATTCAGTAATAACGAGATGACAGCCTTCATTGCCTGACCATATGGCAAGTGTTACAAGTATATGCAATCACATCATCTGCTGTAAATTACCATACTTCCTACAAGTTAATTCACAAATAAAAAATAAATAGACATACCTGAACTGACATTCAAAGTTATAGATTTGGTTTTATTCAATTTAAGCATGCTTTTAAAGATTTATAAGTAATTAAACAAAAAGTTTTGCAAAATGACAAACAAAAGGCATGATATTGTTTGAAGGATGCCTTTTCTTTGCAAGCAAGCAAAACATATGGTAAAATACAAGTGAGCCCTCTGAAGTGAACACCTGTTAACATACTAAACTACTTGTGTATATTACAAGGATCAATACAAATAGCAACTAGTTACGAGCATCTTGTTACTGTAGGAGGCAAAACATGTAGAATGTTGAGCAGTAAAGATAAAATACTTATCATATTTGCTAAGCTAAAGAACACTACATGCATACGGTACTATCTTGTGAAAAGAGTGAAAGATTCAAACGAAGAGAATATTTGCATATGTAACATAGCGCTAAAATTTAAATATAACAAAAGGTGGATTTATCACTATTATGCATCAATTCTATTCTGTAGCAAGAACTCTGTGGAGATTAACACCTAATATCATGTAAAGTTAAATACTCAGCAAACTAAATTAAGGTTCCTGAACTTTCAGTGGCAAAATGCTAAGCAAATGTTACTTCCAATTTAGATAATTTGTTATTTTTTTAACATTACACCTCTAAACATTCTTTTCATTTTCTCTGACATTAACCATGTTTATCTTAATGATATATTTACAATTACTTCCGTAGAGTTAATTTCTGCATGCAATCCTCTAAACCCACATTTTTAAAATAGGAAAGGAAAACCATGGCTTAAATTCAGGAGTACTGACATATATATATGTGTGTGTGTGTGTGTGTGTGTGTGTACGTAGACATAGGATTCTTATACCACAATTTAAGTCTGTTTGCTGGGGTTGATATCTTACCTTCTGTAACATCTGATGTGAAACGTCTCTCATATTCCTCACTGGAATATTATTTTTGACTCCATCAGCTTCACTAAATTTACAAAGTGGCTCTGTCAGAAAATAAATAACACATTCCTATAATTAAATAAATGAAACACATTGTGACATCTAATATATCACTAAAACAATCCCTAGACATTTTAAGGAAATGTATTATTTACTTCCACAATTATTTCTAATGTGGTCTATTTTCTTGACAAGCCTTTTGGTCACTTTCTAAAGAGTGACCTCTCTTCAATTATTATTGAAGAATCTCTATAGCATCACAGTATGTTTTTTTTTCCGAGTACAAGCTTTTCAAAGGTACAATAGATCTGCAGGTTAAAGACACTGTACTTTCATTCCAATTTTTATTCTTTTATAGACTATTCCCTCTATGCCTTAAAAGCAGAATTCATTGCCTTTTTATCTACACAGTCACTACCAGTTTTGTTCTCTAGGTCTTGTTCCCTGCTAGGAGGATGAGAGTGATTGGTGAACAAAGCAAACAGTAACTGAATTAGGATGGATGAAAACTTTAAACCCTGGTTTTTGTTAAGTTAAAGATCACGTACTTCACCAGATGAATCATACAAATCATTCCACTGAAATATTGTGAAATCATAACAATTAGGAATTGGCAGAACTAATGAGAGTAAACATGAATCTAAGCATCAGTGTTGGAGACAGCTATACACTTTAGATACTTAAAATCCCAAGTTAAAAATCATCTATTAAGAAAGAGGAATGCTAAGAAAATGTTTACAAGCACTAAGACGTACAGTCAATCAGAAGTAAACCACACTCTGTTCAGATTTTAATCAAGATCTTAGCACTCACAAATTGCCCACTGCTCAAAGAAATGCGCAATTACACACCACAGAAGGTTTTCATATTAGAATATGAAATATTACATTAAAGAACAAAAGAATCCCAACACTCTAAAACCACCACAATATTCATGTTTCTTTTCTAATCCTTCTTTCCTCCAAATTACCTTAAAAAATTAATCTTAAGGGATAAATATCTGTGCTACATGGTGAAGGTCTGCCTTAGAAGTAATATTTCAAACTACAAGCAGACACTGTAGGTCACTTAAAAACTTTTGATTTATAAACAAAGAAAGTGTAGAAGAAAACAGTGTTACTCTCTGTAGATTCACAATCCTCTTGATATAAACAGTGACTAACAAGTTTGTTAGAGTGAATTAGACCTTTCTTTTGTCTTTGGAACGTGTCATGGCCAATTAATACTTCTGTATTCATGAAATAAATGGAACACTATTCTAAAGATAATAAAAGCTGAAAAAGGTAAAACTATGCATCTGGGGAATATGTACCTTTACCTTGATATTAATATGTTAGTTCCCATGTTACCTCAGACTACAGTCCCCCAGCACAGTGGTACTGCATACATTTAGAACATTCTTTAAGTAACACACAAAGATAATATGAACATGCTTTTCATCTTTTTCTAAATATTCACTCATTTGAATGTCTGTTGTAGCTTTTATATCAGCATTTACAGTACTCCACTGAAAAGAAAAATTATTTCCCATAGTCAAAGAAACTGATCAAAGCACACAAGGTGTTATGTTTATTATGTGGATGTATTAAAATGCAATTTAAAACTCTATAAATAAACATACTATATGCAGATAATAAAGAATACTGCTGCAAAATAGATAGAAAAGACTATACATGTTCAGTATTATCACAGAAGACAAAACGAATGTAAATGCAAGTAAAGCCAAAGGTCACTGATACATAACCCTTTCTGTTGAGCAGAAAATAAATGGCCCATTCAAGCCCCTTGTCCTCTCCTCCCTTCTAATTGTTATGTAATTGTTCATTGGAACTGGTTAGGGAGACAATGAAACAGCATCACCTGTAACTAACTGTCTGTCTGGGATAGCAGAAAGATACATCATATCAGTCTACTCAGCAAGAGTGTGCTCTACCTGTCATACTACTGCATAAAAAAAAACCAACTTCTCCCTCAAGGAATAGACCCACAAGTCATAAACCCCACTATCTTCAGTCATCAAATTGCCATGGTCTTACAGAAGCACACTTATGTCCCACTGAGAAAACATAGTTAACTGTCAGCTTCAGAATGTAACACTTAATTCCTAATTAATAGTCACCAAATCTGATGATAAGTCAGTTCAACACAGCTGCCAAAACAGTACTTGAACTATGATACCACAGTTCACTATTAGTATTTGCAGAAAGTCTTCTCACACAGAAAAAAAATACCAGTTTTTAAAAAAATAATAGAGCTGTGTAATGGTCACTCACTATATAAACCACATAGAACCCACACAAACCATCAAAAGAATGACATTTCTTTCTGTAGCGCACACAAGGTGAAGGATTTCCCCACAGACAGAAGGTGTCACAAAGTGACCTTGTGCTATGGTGCACAGTCACTGGGTTACTGACCCCAGCTACCCATGGTACTGGGTCACAAAAAAGAGCTGGTGGATAACACCACTGTGAAGACAAAAAGGGAATGCCATTCTCATGTGTAAGCTGAGGATACAGTAGAAGTCTCATAATGAAAAAAATCTTCAAACTGCCTCCTTGAAGAAATAGTGGGCCAACAGTTTACTGTCTTTTAAGAAGTATTTTAATCCTATTTTTCTGAATAGGTATTGATGAATCCACTATCCTGCTTCTGGAGGAAACGACCTGACTACCTGCCTACACATTCTTTATCTTAATACACAAATAATGATATGAATAGCATGAATAGTGAATTTGGATTTGATGACTACTAGACAATAATTGGACAAGGGAGTAAAAATGGAAAGCAACTGGAAAGTGCAGGAACAGTTTCCTTTTGCCCTGATCCCCTTCATCTTTGATCATCACAGTTTGAAAAATTATACAGAAGAACAACAAAGCTATCCAATACTTTTTGCAGACAAACAGAACTGATATCAAATAAAACAAGACAATATGCAGGAAATTAATACAGGAAAGCTCTGTCTCTTTTACAGAATTTATCCCTTGATATTAGAATGCCTGAAGAAAACAGGTATTTGCTAAGGTGAAAGAGAATTCCAACATAATTGATAAACTAAGGAAATTCATGAGCAGCTATTTTTTTACACTTCCACTGGTAAAAGTTCGGAAATGTTTAATACATATCTTTGAACTGTAATCTTATCAGAAGCTTCCTGTCAATTAACATGATACCTCTAACAACACATGCTGGAAGAGGTAAATAAAATTTGCCCAACACACTTCACTAGTAGTTTAACCCTTCTCAGTCCCAAGAAACAGTTAATCATCACACCAGTAACCAAACCAGAACTGTGCCTCCTCCCACAAGCTTTTAGAGGAGGATATTTTTAATCTGAAAGACAATGAAAAGAGAAGGAATAAAAGACTAACTGTTAAAGCACTAAACATGTCAGGAACTGGCAGTTTTATAGATTTCACTGTTTTTTGGAAAAGGATGGATATTACTCAGAAAGCCCTCAACTCCTTTTCACTGCTGGTTGTCTTGCACTTTCTTTCTGTACAAAGACTAACTAAATTGGAAAAAATGAAGAAGTGATTTTTAAAGTCAGTATTTAAAACCTTCACTAGTTCCCTTCAGCTCTGTCTGTGGCTATGAACACAACATATGTGAAGCAGTACAAAAGAAAATAGTAACTTTCAGTTTTCAGCAGCTTGATATCTCCACCTAGTTTTAGAGATACAATTTTAAAATGAAAGGGAAAAAAAGATTTTATTTTTTCATTCATTTATTTTTCATTTTATTTATTTTTTCATTTAAGTGACCAACATTATCACAAGAAAACAGAAAATAGCCACCAGCAGAAAACTATGATAAAGAAGGGTAAAGCTTTATTGCTAAAAACATGTAGAGTATTTCACCAAGTCTCCCACTTTCCTTTGCACTACACTGCGCATAAAGAATTCACCAGAGAAGAAATACATAGAAGAATGTAACTATGAACTCTTGAATATTTCTCCCAGATGATTCAGGAACAGCTAATAGTACAACAAATCAGAGGAGTGATGGAGAGGCAACAGTAACATATTACCTATCTGACTGACAAAGACTCATCTTCATAGAACCATCAACTACTATAAAGATATAAAAGAAGATATTGATGATCAATTCTTACACAAATTTCACCATTTTGATTTACTTTCAAATTCACACACTTTATCAGACTATCAGATAGTTTTAAAAGAGAATTCTCAATGAGCACCAAATTTCTGTATCAGTATACGTCAACATGCAAAAACCATTTCAGATTCTGCAGAGAACTTCATAAGCATATAAACATATTTTAGACTTTACATATATATATAGATATAAATGTATATTACTATACATATGTGTTTTGGTTGTAAACAAAATAATTGACTTATTCTATATGTAGTATACACACATAAGTTGCAAATGTTTTACTGTGTATATATATATGTATGTACATACTAAAATTGTCATAGGTTTAATAGATGTGTGGAAAACTACTGGGCAAACATACTTGCAAATCACATATATGGCCTTATGTTTTTAAAATATACATTTAAGAAAAAGAAGTCAACCTTTGGAGACAAAATAACCTCAGAATTAGTATTTCTTATAGAAAACTGTATTGCGTTGCCATGGCTAGATTTTAGTAGCAGGAGAGTTACAGGAGTGGCTTCTGTGAGAAGCTGCCCGAAACTTCCCCTATGTCTGGCAGAGCCACTGCCAGGTGGTTATAAGAGAAACACACCACTGGCCAAGGATGAGCCAATCAGAGTTAATGGCAACATCTCTTGACAACATATTTAAGAAGAAAAATAGTTACTGTGCAGATGTAATTGTGCTTGGGGAAGAGCAAAGTGAGAACATATGAGAGGAACAGTCTTGCAGACACCAAGGTTAGTGGAGAAGGAAGGGAAGAAGGTGTTCCAGGTGCCGGAGCTGGGGTTCCCCATGGTGCATATCATGATGAGGCAAGCTGTGCCCCTTCAGCCCATGGAGGACCACAGGAGTGCAGAAATCCACCTGCAGCCCATGGAGGAGACCTGCATCAGAGCGGGTGGATGCCCTGTGGAAAAGCTGTGGTGAGGCAGGCTCCTGGCAGTGACCTGAAGACCCATGGAGAGAAGACCCCATGGTGGAGTAGGTTTCCTGGTAGGCATTGTGACCCTACGAGGGACCCACCCTGGAGTAGGCTGTGACTGATAGACTCCACCCTGTGAACAAGTGATCCATTTTTCAGCAGTTTGTGAAGAACTCTTGCCCATGGGATGGACTCACACTGCAGAAGTTTGTGGAGAACTGTCTCCTGCAAGAGGGCCCCACGGGAAGCAGGGGAAGGACTCCTCTCCCTGAGCAGTGCCAGGAGCAACTTGTGATGAACTGACTGTCACCCCCATTCCCCATCTCCCTGTGCTGCTGGGAGGGAGGAGGTAGAACTGGGAAGGAGGGAGGGGTGGGGGGAAGGTATTTTCAAGATTTGTTTTTACTTCTCATTATCATGTTTTGATTTTGTTTTACTATTGAATTTAATTAATATCCCCAAGTTCAGTGTGTTTTGCCAGTGATGGTATTTATGAGTGATGTTTCCCAGTCTTTATTACAACTTTTGTATATTTTGCTATATTTTCTCTCCCCTCTTCAGCTGCAGAGCAGCTTTGGTGGGTGCCAAGGTCAACCCACTACAACTACATATACACATATAAAATATTATACCTTCCTTTTTTGTTGTAAAAATAGTTAAGATCCTGTATTGTGAACTTACCCACAGATTGGTGTATTTTCATCTGATCCAATTCTTCTTCAAGATTCAGTCTACAAAAGAGGAAATAAGAAAATAAGAACCACAGAACAATCACATATGCCACGCAATCACACAACGCCACTAAAATGATTTAAAAAATTAAACCAAAACCATATCAATACATTACTGGGAAAAAAATTGTCACACTCAGGAATTAGTTCTAATGTGATAACACTTAGCATACTTCATGTATAAGGAGGCATTTGTAGAACAGCTTTTTAAAATTTACAAATCATCTGAATTTCAAAAATTCAGATACAATGTTGAATGTGTCATACACCAAGAAATTTCAGCTGATCTTTTTAAGTAAGAAAATGCCTGAGATAAAAAAAAGACTGGTAGGAGGTAGAATCCTGTTAGGATGGGAATAAGTACTCCAACTCAGGCGGAATCACTTGTGCAGATATATCTGAGCAGTTAGCAACTCTTTGAGAAAGTTATTAACAAAATATTCCCTGCCTTTCTTCCAGCCTTGACTTACCAGTATATTACTACCATAGTTTATCCTGTAATATTAACCAGCAGAATTACCTGAATCAGTCTTTTTCAATTTATTAAAGTTACAAACAAATAAAGTCACCAAGATACCAATGCTAAAGTCTCAAAGTCAAATTGGGAAATGCTGGAATGAAAAATATTAATTTAAACTGTTCATTTATACTTGTGTTTTCTGACACAATCTCTAACTATATAGTTGCACACTATTTCAGCATAAAATCCTCACCCATTTTAGCCACGGATCCTACAGCACACAGAATAGAGCACAGTCATTTAATTTGCCCCTTTCACTTACAATATAAACACATATCTTATACAAATACATGTTATTCTAGCAGTGTTGTAGAAGGTAGATGGCTAGTTTTCTCACAGTTGTTTCTGCTCTACTCTGAACAGTAGCATCTATTTCACAGGAAATTTATGCTTTACACTACTTTGCCCTCTGAGATAAGGCATAAAAAACTCTGTACAAACTACTTTAAGGAAAGGCCTAAAAAAAAGGTCTTCAAGTATACCCAGTATGTTACAGTACATTATACATCGTATGCACCTCTGACTGAGCTGTAAAATATAAATTACAATGAAAATTATAGATATGAAAAAATCAGAGTAACTTGCTGTGCATGACACATACGAATCCAGCTGTTTTTTCAGGATCACTCAGCTGCCTTCATTGGCTGACTTTCTTTGCTCTTCTTTCATCCTCCAAAACTCAGTCAGTCATCATCAGTTTCTATTATGTGGACTACAGTAGCCTTTGTTTCCACACTATCCTAATTCCACACAGCATATTAACTTTTTGCACAGAATTGCAGAATATTTCCTTGAAAAAACATTGTTTACATAATTAAAAACTGAATCCAACATGAGTGCTTCCTGCTTGAACCTCTATCTTCTGAACAAGCTGGTTTTCAACTTCAAAAACATTATTTGAATGAAAATGTTTATGAACATATATAATGCCTCTCTATACTTTAATTGACAAGCACACAATAATGATTGTATAAGATTTTTTAAGAGCAAACTTTTCACAAAGATTTTTCTTCAGGCTGAGGAAACTTCATGAAGAAGTAACTAAATCATATTAAATAAGTAAAAGGGGTAGATTTATAGTCTGAATATCTGAAGTGCCTCTAAAAAAATTAATTCATCTGTGAAATAGTCTCCAACTAAAGTTATGATACATTTAGGCTGGAAAAATTTCAGTCAAGTTCGGACAAGAAATTAGAATATACAATACAAGATCCAATCCATAGAAGTCAATGACTAGCTCGCACGAATGTTAGAAATGCTCAGGCGGGTTAGCCCAGTGCCAGGTCCATCCATCACCAGTACTCTGTCTCCAGCAGAGGCAAAAGCAGATGCTGCTCAGGAAAGAGAGCAAGTCTAACAGTTTCTGCAGTCTGATTCCAATTTTCCACCCTAGAAGTGGCATGTAAGCACTACTCTTTGTTTCTTCAGCTTTAACTGGTTCCCTGTTGCTAAAAGAACCTTTCCTCCAATCCTACAGCAATCAGATTTCTTTTTCTTAACCTTTCAGTTGTCAAAGGCAACTGAAAAATGCAGAGCAGATTGCTACTACCACATAGTTACTATCACTCTTCCATAATTCCAGCAGGTGAATGAAGCAGGATTTCCCTTTAAAAGAGTCACAATAATGCTTCCCCCAAAAGACTGTGTTGATCTATGCTTAGTGATCTCTCTTTCCAGTCATTTTTTATGGGTTGGTTGGTTGGTTGGTTGGTTTTTTTTTTACTCCCTCTTCAAGCACCATTTTTTCCTGAAGACTGACTGCCACCTTCCCAAGTATGGAAGCAGGCAGGCTCACTGGTCTGCAGCTCCCTCTGGAGCCCACTCTGTAGATGGGAGTTAACAGATGCAACCTGCCAGTCCAGTGGCACAGTGGATGTTAACAAGGAGATTACAGGTCAGCAGTTTCATACTTTCACATCCCTTGGGTGTGAACATGCTTCAGTTTCTTCACACCTCGGCATGGGAAGAATATTAGCATCAAGATATTAACAACTAATCAACTTGACCTCATAATTGCTTCAAACAGGTCTAACACCTTTAATCTATTTTACAAAGAATATCCGACTTACTGGCATCTCCTTAGCATCATTACAGGGAATCATACAGTCATAGAATGGTTTGGGTTGGAAGGAATCCTAAAGATCATCTAGTAGCAAAGACTGACTGAGCAAAAGACTGTTCTTTTATAGTCTTGTAAACCCAGTGTATCATTTTACACTGTTATCATTAAACAAATCTGTAAATTTCCTTACTGTCTTCTTTTACACCTATTACAAGCAAAATTTTACTGTAACAGCTTAAGCACATTTGAAAACCAATCTTCAAGAACCTGTTTAGGCTTCTCAACTTCCCACATGCATTTGCCCTGCCACTTTTTATTGGCCCTACTTTTTTGTAGCAACGCAAGTTTAAATATTAAATTACGACCTTTTCTCTATGAGGGCCATAAAAACTTCCCCACTGAGTCTCTAGATAGAGCTACTTAAGACTGTTTTGGGACATGGGTTGGTTTAGGGTTATTTGGATTGGTTATCTGGGTTGGTTTGAGGTTACTGTCAGTGCTGATCACTTTTAAACATCACCTCCTAAGGGCACAGGAGCAGCAATTCCCAAATGTTGAAATCAAGCAGGCAAGGCACAAGGCTGGCTTGGCTGAACAGAAATCTTGGCTTGGAATTAAGGCAAAATGGAAGCTGTATGCCCAGTGGAAGCAAGGTCAAGCCACTTGGGAAGAATTCAGAGATGCTGCTTGTCACTGTAGAGGGAAGATTTGTGAAGCCAAAGTTCAACTGAAGTTGCAGCTGGCCAGGAATGTGGGGCACAGTAAAAATTGTTTTTTTCAAATATATTAATGTCAATAGGTAGTATAGAAATATCATTGGCCTGTTACAGGATGAGGATGGTAATTTCACAAACAGGGACAGAGACAAGGCAGAGGTGTTTAATGCTTGCTTTGCTTCTGTCTTCAACATGGATGATTGACCAAGAGGGTCCCAGTGCCTTGAGCTGGAGGATCATGACTGTGAGAATGATCAACTCCCAGTTGACTCTGAAATTGGGATCTGCTGCTCCAGTTGGATCACTAGAAATCTACGGAGCATGATTGCAAAATGATTTTTAAGTGGTCTTGGGTATTCAGAGAGGTCCCAGCTGGCTGGAAGCTAGCAAATGTTGTCCCAGTTTTCAAGAAGGGAAAGAAATAGGACTTCAGCAAATATAGATCTGTCAGACTCACTTAAATGTGTGGTAAAGTCATGGAAAAGAATATTCCCCTAAGTAATGATAAACAGCTGAAAGGCAACACAGTCACTGATCAGAGCCAGCATGGCCTCATGAGACGAAAGTCCTGCTTATCCCACTTGATTTCCTTTTATGACATGGTAACCCATGTAGTTGATCAAGGGAAGCCAGCTGATGTAATCATTTTGGATTTCAGTAAAGCTTTGGATATTTTCTCTCACAGGATCCTTCTGGACAAATTGTCCAGCAATCAGCTGGATAAACACATCATGTGGTGGGTCAGCAATTGACTCACGGGTTGAACACAGAGGTTAACAGTGAATAGGGTGACATCAGACTGGTAACCTGTCACTAGTGGGGTTCCACAGGGCTCCATCCTGGGACCTGTGCTCTTCAACATCTTCATAAATGACTTGGACACAGGACTGGAAGGGATACTAAGCAAGTTTGCAGATGATACAAAACTGGGAGGAGCTGGTGACTCCCTCAAAGGCAGGGAGGCCCTGCAGAGAGACCTCGACAAATGAGAGGACTGGGCAATCACCAACCAGATGAAGTTCAACAAGGGAAAGTGCCGGATTCTGTACCTGGGATGGGGCAACCTTGGATGTTTGTATAGACTGGGGAATGAGATGCTGGAATGCAGTGCCACAGAAAGGGACCTGGGGGGCCTGGTCAATGGCAAGTTGAATATGAGTCAACAGTGCTCTGGCAGCCAGAAGGGCCAACCATGTCCTGGGGGGCATCAGGCAAAGCATTGTCAATTGGTCAAGGGAGGGGACTGTCCTGCTCTGCTCTGCATTGGGGCAGCCTCACCTTGAATATTGTATGCAGTTTTGGGCACCACAATACAGGAAAGATATTAAGCCATTAGAGACTGTCCAAAGGAGGGCAACAAAGATGATGAAGGGCCTTGAGGGGAAGCCGTATGAGGAGCAGCTGAGGTCACTTGGTCTGTTTAGCCTGAAGAGGAGGACACTGAGGGGAGACCTCATTGCAGTCACGACTTCTTCGTGAAGGGGAGAGGCATGCACTGATCTCTTCTCCATGGTGATCAGTGACAGGACCCGAGGGAATGGCCTGAAGTTGTGTCAGGAGAGGTTCAGGTTAAATATTAGAAAGAGGTTCTTCACCCAGAGGGTGGTTGGGCACTGGAACAGGCTCCCCTGGAAAATGGTCACAGCACCGAGCCTGACAGAGTTCAAGAAGTGTTTGGACAACGCTCTCAGGCATGCAATGT